GTGTAGAGGCGATGGCCGGGCCCTCGCCATGCCTCAGCCGCAGCAGGTGGCGCCCCGTCTCGTAGAAGTGCGGCCCCCACGAGTGCAAATTGACCACCTCCGCTCCAGCGTCCAGCATCGTCCTGCGGCGGCGGCGGCGCCGAGTCACCACCACCCGCTCACGACAGACGCACCTCCTGCCCGGACGCCAGCGTCCCTCGCGTGCCCGGCTCAACGCCACAAAGCCATGCCCCGAGCGACCGGCCAGCGCGGCCATCACAGCAGCTTGTCGCGGGGCTGCTGCAGACGGACCAGCGCGGCGATGTACCCAGAGGGAACTCGGCACCTCCTCGTAGTCTGTGACTGGCGCCGCGCACGGACGTCTTTCCTGACAGTCTGCGGCGAGATAACCAGCCTTTGATACGTCACTGACGCGACACTTACCACTGGGTGGCTGAAGTGTTGCAGTGGGTGGCTGAAGTGTTGCAGCGGATGGCTTAAGTGTTGCGTGAGTGCCTAGTGTTGCGTGAGTGGCTGGAGTGTTGCAGTGAGTGGCTGGAGTGTTACAGTGAGTGGCTGAAGTGTTACAGTGAGTGGCTGGAGTGTTGCCGTGAGTGGCTGGTGTGTTGCGTGCGTGGTTGGAGTGTTGCCGTGAGTGGTTGGAGTGTTGCGTGAGTGGCTGGAGTGTTGCCGTGAGTGGCTTGAGTATCGCACGAGTGGCTGATGTGTTGCGTGAGTGGCTGGAGTGTTCCGTGAGTGGCTTAAGTGTTGCGTGAGTGGCTGGAGTGTTGCCGTGAGTGGCTTGAGTGTTGCGCGAGTGGCTGGAGTGTTGCGCGAGTGGCTGGAGTGTTGCGCGAGTGGCTGGAGTGTTGCGTGAGTGGCTGGAGTGATGCATCGCCACAGGCAGGCACCCAACAGCCGGCGGCGACACGGCGTCCCCACACTGGGCGGGCGCACGGCGGCCACCGTCGCCGCACCGGCGTCCAACGAACACCAGGCCAGTGTCGGGACTGGCAGCGCGCCTCACGCCACCGTCCAGTCGCGACACCCCAGCACCACCCCACCGTCGCCGCGGCGGGCAGCGGGACGGCGGACGGGCGCCGCACCTGTGCGTCTGCCGGTACAGCTTGGGCAGGCTGACGCTGACGATCTGCTTGTAGGTGGTGACGTTGAGCAGGTGCGCCAGCCACAGCGGCAGCTCCAGCTTGGCGTTGGCCGGCACGTCCTCGTGCTGGCCGGACGAGTCGAGGAAGCCTGCGGCGACGGGCGACGAGCGGTGACCCTGCCACGGCGGCGGCGGCGCGAACGGCGGCCGCGCGCAGGCGACGACCTGGAGGGGAGGGGGGCTCACGGGTGGGAGGCCCAGCAGACATTTACCGGGCACATGACCGGACATTTACCGGGGCGGGTGTGGAGAGGCGGTCTGCTGTGATACGCGTCAGAGTCACAAAATGAGACACAATGAGTGTGAAAAACACCGGCACGGGTATGAGCACGCAGATGCAGGCGGTTCTGCCAGCCAGTGGAGGTGAATGAAAATGACAAGACCCAGTGGAGGTGATGACTAGCCAGGCACCAAGGATGGCTATGGTGTGAAGAGACGACTTCTGATGTGCCTATCCAGATATACAGGTGCCACACAGGCTGACAGGCGCAGACATAGGCAGCCCTGCTGTGCAATGGATGCTGTGCTTGGACACAACATTCTTATTCACTGTTAATTCAATCAGATGGGTGGAAACCAAAACCTTCTATTTTCTTAAAACAAATGTGTTGCTTCTTGACAGACCTGTGATTTGTGTGATGCATGACTCATATTATTGATGCTTACTTACAGCCTTACCCAAAAACACTCTTCCCATGACTACTATAATACTGACCAGTTTTTTGTTGTTGTCAGTCTTCCATGGACTGATTGTTCATATAAGACCACAATTTTCCAATGCACAATGTCAATAAAAAATCACAAAACCAGGACTGTACACTTCCCACTCACAACATGTCTTCATTTCCCTGCCACTGAAAGTCATACTGCAGCATTCCGGTAAGCGTTGTCACCGTCATTAAGGCTTTAGGACACACTCAGTTGCATGAGGCTATTTGACATTGCCTGCCCCATTTATAGCATTTTTAATTTTAATTTTCTTCATGGTGATTGCTATATTTGCAGTTCATATTTTCCCATCCACTTCATTATTATTTCTGCAGTGACAGCAGAGTTGAAGACCAGTCAGTCAAGTATGAGACATCTGGCAGCTTGGATGGCAAGCTATGTCACAAAAAGCATGGCATTTGGAACATGCAAATGACATAACAGATCATTTGATGTCACATTATACATACTCCAGACTGTAACAAACAAACACTATGCTGAACATGAACATGTCCAGCAAGGCAACAACATGACAGAAACAATCTAAAAGGATGTAAACGACATTGCTGAGTGCTGAGAGCTTGGGGTAGACACCAACAATTTCAGTGCATACAGAACCAATTTTTCAAGTGTGCATATTGGTGCAAAAAATATTTAGGCTTAGACACCCTAAAAACATTATTCCTGCAAGCCAAATTTGCCAAGTAGCAATAATTGGGGTTTTCAAGAACTTTGACTGCAGCCATATATTATCCACAACATAATTTTGAAAAGCGAAATTAGGCCTGGCCTAAGATTGACATACACAAGTAAGGTCTATTAAAGATCTTGGAAAGGCATTCAGTGGAGTGGGGGAAGGAGAATATTTTGAAGACCAATACCAGATGAAAACATGAAGCTTACCATTCAATTAGATACACTTTTTCTGGGGTTCGTTTCCTGTAAGCTTTAATAAACAACAACTATCATGCCAGCCATCTTTGCAAAACAATTCACTGAACTTCTTTCAGAAAATTTCTAGCCATGAAAGCTTACCTAGATGTTTAGTTTCCTCCAGAAACTTGCAGGAAACATTGGCGTTCGAGGCAAGAATGTCATCCAAGGAGAAACAGTCAGGTGAATATGATCGGCATAAGTCCATACTCGCAATATAAAAGTAACAACTAATTGTGGGATAAAGTTTAGTTTAACACATCAACCAGATTCGATTGAACGCACCGACTTGTAACTGTCAATAGAGTCCCACGGCCACAACACAGAAAAACACCTATGTACTGTGTATTGCAACTCCCATCGGCAAAAATATGCGCTAGAACGGTCATACATGCGCAATCATCACGTCAACAAACGAAAGTGCCGCCAAGTCGATCGCTTCCATACAAAACAAATTTTTTGTTAACTGGTAAAAAAAACGCCATCCAGTCAATATCATTTGCAGTCGTATGAGCGGACAGCACACATCTAAGCCTCGAGCAGCAGTTACTTCATCCATGAATATGCCTTGTACGTATCTGACGGTAACTCTCATGCGTATCGATCACTACCCTCGTCCCGCGTGCTGCAAGAGGCCAAAAGGGTGGTGCCGCCTCAGTACCATAGAGGATGTTTTGACTGGACATATCAGGACAGAACCTGAACAATGGGGATGACGGGGGAAGGGGGGGGGGGTGGGGTGCAGAGCGTCATGCTCAGGTCTGATAATAAAATCTTCATCACTTGATCACTTATCACAAAATCACCATTTTGGTGATAAAATTACTTAATCACCAAAATGTTTTCACTTAAAGGCGTATACCACTGGCTTCCTCTCAAGGCAAGCAACACGCCGGTTTTTGTTCCTCCAGGTAAATTGGTGGCCAAGCAGACCATACCTTTGTGGGACGATTCGCACAACAACGAAATCAGGTGGGAGAGGGGTAGGGAGGGAGTCACTCAGCGTAATTCATGAAACCAGGCAATTGGATCGGAAATGTAAAAAATGCGTCGTACAATACACGGACGGCACGAAATGCGCTTTGCTGGTAAGACAGGGAGTCATAGCATGGCGAATGTTTCTCCTATCTGCAGATGTTATTACGGGCCCTATTTCGCAGCAAAAGAACTGAAGATGCCCGACGCCACTCCGCACTGCGCCATAATGCCCCCCCCCCCCCCCCCCACGCCGCCGTCGAAAGATGTCACACCAGCGCTCGAAGCTGTAGTTGTCTTCGTTCTCTTCCTGACACCTGCTCGAGATAATTGCGCTCCACGTTCTGACACCAGCGTCAATTCGCGCGCTTTTTGCGAGCGTCCCAATAATTTCAAGCCTGTACTAGCTTGTCACGACTTCGGAGCGTAGTTTGTGAGCATTAGGCCGGTGGTGACTCATAGACACAACGGCCTGAACAAGTGCAATGTTACTCCGGCCCCCCGCCTCAGTCACTTCCAGAGGGTGTGATTCCCGCTGCCCCACCCATTGTTCGTTGTCTTTATTTCTAATGGTGATTTGCCCCCATGCAAATTACAAGTATACTCCGTCGCAAGATGAGGGGCCTGATGAGATGGAGGGAGGATATGACAACCAAGAATACAAAAACCTGCACCGTGCCAGACCCATGGCAAGATCGCGCCCACGTCAGATGCCCGCGCTACGCGTGGCACCGCTGGGCGTCCCAAAACAGCACACTCGAGAAGCTGAGGTGCTAACAGCAGAGAACCTGCGCCCCATCCTTGTGAAGCCTCTACTCTTTCCGACGGAGATCACTTTGAGGCATCGCACGACATGTCCATGCCGCCACTCGAGCTGCCACCGCGGGCGCCAGACAACAAAAGTTTCATATGAATGGTGCGAGACGCGGTCGCAGTCCCGGCAGTGTATTGCAGAATCACATATATAATATAGCAACAAGGCAGAAAGCTCGACGAAAAATGCTCTACAAGACCCGCTGGTGTTTACTTCTTCGAAGCGCAGGCAATCGCACACAGCCCATGGTCACTATCACAGCGGCTGGCCTCGCTCCGGGCTCATCCCGCGCCAAACGGAAAGACCTGATTACATCACTGATCTTAAGGCACTCGTAAAAGATGGAGCCGTCCCCCCGGCGCGCCCACTCCACATTAGGAGGAAGGGTCGCGTCCCCCCGCGTCCCACACAGACGCCCCCGACGAGATCACGCCGTTCGCACACGGCACTCGCGGACGTTCTGAGCCACGGAAGAGCCGTGTTTTGATGTGCACTGACGCGGATTCGGTGCAAATGCGGAATGTTTGACGACGGCTTATTCTTCGTGTAAAATGGACGTGACAAAGAGATACAAACAAGAGAACTGAACACATCTTCTGTCGCTTTTGTCGCAGGAGTTTGCCCGTTCGACGTGTCCAACACCGATCACCGCGCTCATAGCACGACCCGCAACATTACCAGCTCTGGGAAGCAAGATGCACAAGACGGACAAAAGCAAAGCAAAACAGGGCACTACGCAGTGGAGTCACACCAGGAAAAAATGAATCAAATGTATCACAAAAGCGTTGTGAAAGGATTGCGACAGCTTCAGCTTACAGCGTGACCTAAAAGAAGCCAATACCCAACCGCAAAATGTCAGGCCAATCTAGATTAAAAGTAGTCACTGGTGGTCCTCCAGTGGGCGCTGGCGTTCCTTAAACGTTGACTGGTGATCCTCGAGCGATCACTGGTGGACCTCCCAGCGGTCACTGGTGGTCCTCCAGCAGGCGCTGGCGTTCCTTAAACGTTGAGTGGTGATCCTCCAGCAGTCACTGGTGGACCTCACAGCAGTCACTTGTGGTTCTCCAGCGAGCAATGATGGTCCTTCAGCGGTCAATGGCGGACCTCCCAGCGGTCACTAGCGGACCACCCAGCGGTCACGGGTGGTCCTGCAGCGAGCAGTGATGGTCCTCCAGCGGTCAATGGCAGATCTCCTAGCGGTCACTGGCGGACCTCCAGCGAGCAATGATGGTCCTCCAGCGGTCACTGGCGGACCTCCAAGCGGTCACTGGTGGTGCTCCCAGTGACTCATCTCCCAGTCATCGGTCTGGCACGGCTTCCCGCAGTACACCCGCGGTTCGGCCGCGCCGCCCTTATCGCACAGCGAGCACAGCTGGAACGAGCCAGGCGCCGCCTCGCGGCGATCGCAGAAACTGCAGCTTCGCAGCGGCTCCGCCGCCGCCCCGTCCGACACCACCGTCGGCTCCGAAACGGCGACGCCGTGCTGCGTCAGCACTGATGTCAGCAGAGAGAAGCCGGCGTCAACCAACGACATCTCTGAGCCTGAAATAGACCCGTCGACTATCACCACACAGGGAACGGCTAAACGCGCGCGGAGCGATTTCTGATGGATCAAAAGCTCCTCACCAGGTCAGCATTGCAATGACGACATAACTGACGCCGGCCAGAACAATTCTCACGTTAACAATGCTCCCGAAACAAAACACCCCTTCCCCTCCCCCATGATCACGCATCACAGCGTGCAGTCCCCGTATGACATCCCATCCCCCACGTACACGAGCACGGCCCTACTGTCACCAACGGAGCTTTTCCGAGTCGGCCACGGTGCGGCGCCGGCCGCACTTCCCGCTCGCGCTCCCGCCCCGTACCAGCGATACGGCGGCCATCCGGCCTCTGCTGGCTGACGGCCCGCTGGGCGACACCGGCCAGCTGCTGGGCCGACCGCTGCAGCGGCCCGGCCGGCAGCTGGCGCAGCTGGGCGGACAGCTGCGCCGCCCGACGGTCGGCCGCCTCCAGCACGGCCGGCTCCAGCGGCTCCTGCCGGGCGGCATGACACTGTGACGTCATAACACACACACACACACAACCGCGTGGCCACCCACAGCGTCTCCGGCTCCGGGGCCTCCTGCACGCCACTGGGGCTTTACGACGTTGCCAGCTATTGAGGCTATATGGCGTCGCCTGGCACCTGCCTGTCACGCTGGAAGGAAGGGCGGGCACCACAGGGAATTGAACCACGTACCTCTGGTTCCCCTGACGCGCAGACGCGTTGACCACTGCACTACCGGCACCAGGCGGAATAAAACTGCGACGTCACCTCAAACAGACCAGCTCCCATAAGCGAGTGTGATACTGCGACTGTACCCCACGCAGAGCGCCGCGACCCGCACAGGACCCAGGGCTACACTGCGACGCATCACAAACCAAGCCAGGTCGCCGCCCACGTCCGTGACGTCACCCCGCGTGCCGGCCAACTGCTGGCACGTCAGCCGACCTTCCCGGTCGTCACGTCACGCAGCCCCCTGGGAGAGCCAGTCTCGCACCTCGGGGATGTCGCTGAGATCGGTGGAGACGAGCAGGCCCTCCAGCTGACGGGCCAGGCTGTCGACAGCAGCTGGCTGGATCTCGGCGCGCCCGTTCTGCGGCACGGCACGGCGGGGCACAGGTCAGGTCATGGGGCACAGGTCAGGTCATGGGACACGGGTCAGGTCATGGGACACAGACCAGGTTATGGGGCACAGGTCAGGTCATGGGGCACAGGTCAGGTCAGGTCATGGGCACGGGTCAGGTCATGGGACACAGGTCAGGTCATGGGGCACGGGTCAGGTCATGGGGCACAGGTCAGGTTATAGAACACAGGTCACAGACGGGCGTGGTAGCGCGGCGACATGGCGGGCGCCCAAACGGCGGAGGACCCGGCATCGGTGGCAGAGGTCACTCCCTCACCATCCCTGCCAGTGGGTGTCAATATTCAGACAATTACGAAATGTGGACGCACACTGACCAGCATCAGGTTTGCTAGATGTAGGCTGCACAGAGCCGGGTGGTCGAAGACAGCAACGCAAAGCCCAAGAGACCACGGTGAATCTCTCATCCACACTCCGGCAACACGCCGGAGCACCCGCCAGTGCGCGCGAACACCGCTGAGGCGGCCTGACGGCCCGATGACCGGCCGCGTGTCCAGAGGACTGAGCCGGGGGACCGGCCGCGTGTCTCGGGGGCTGACCCGGGGGACCGGCCGCGTGTCTCGGGGGCTGACCCGGGGGACCGGCCGCGTGTCTCGGGACTGACCCGGGGGACCGGCCGCGTGTCCGGGACTGACCCGGGACCGCCTCGTGTCCTCGGGGACTGACCCGGGGACCGGCCGCGTGTCTCGGGGACTGACCCGGGACCGGCCGCGTGTCCAGGACTGACCGGGGGACCGCCGCGTGTCCTCGGGCTGACCCGGGGGACCGGCCGCGTGTCTCGGGGACTGACCCGGGGGACCGGCCGCGTGTCCAGAGGACTGAGCCGGGGGACCGGCCGCGTGTCTCGGGGGC